ATTGCTGAATCGGTCGCTTTCTTCCTTTACTAAAGGGATTCCCGGATTATCGCGATTCACTTACCCTGCGCCTAGAAGAGTATTACTCTTTAATAATTATATTACGACCTAATATACGGCTACTAACGTATATCACGTAGGCCCTATAATTTCGTCGTACGAACCTATTTATATTCTTTATATAGTAAAGTATAAAGCGGTATGCCGGCCGCCTGAATAAGCGATATTCGTACGAATATCGTTCGTATAAATACCGGTCGCACGAATCCTATTCGTACGACTAAGGCCCTACTATTTCACACTAATTACTTTAGATTATCTATAAAACACTATAATCCGGATTATCGTACTTATCTTATAAGCCTTATAATCCACGGGTATTATTTGCTTTATATAATAATCCCCTTAGTATATAGGAAGCCTAGCTTTACTATAGTTAGTCTTTACTAGCTCCTTAGCTATTAATATAATTATCTACGCAAGATCTACTATCTCGCATATAGACTATAACCCGACCGCTTAAGTTAATAACATCCTAGTATACTTAGTTCATAAACCGACCTTAGATCTACCTACCCTATAGTTGGTCTGACCCGAACGTCACATATCGAGATATTAGCTATGACGATCTAGCGAATACTCTATAGGGCTAGCTTCTAGAAGACTAAGCTTATAAAGAAGCTTAGCTTAATATAAAAGATAAAGAAAAAACGGCTTAAATAATACCTCGAAAGGAAAGATTAAAGCCTCGATAATTAAAAAAAAGTAATCTAATCTAACGAGACCTCTATAGTATTATTATATCGCCGCGGCGGTTATCGGATCTAGCGAACGCCTAAAGAAAAAGTTAATAAGAGCTATATTTATAAGCGATAGAAAAAGTCTTCCGAGTTTATATTCTAGGGTTATTTTTCTTATAATAAGAAAGGTCCTTATTATTATTAATACCTAGAGATTACTTAAGAGAAATAAGCCTCCGAGAAAGAACTTAAGGCTTTAAATAAAGTACTTAAGCTAAAGGTAAGGAAGATATAGGAGTTAGAGGTTAGTATAAATCGTATAAAGCTTCGCGAGGGTAAAGCCCCCGGCCGCGTACTATAATAACGATAGATTAAAAAAACCGGGAAGCTTATAAAAGGCGGTAAAAGTAATATCGACTAGTAGCGTTATTAAAAGATTATCTTAACGCCGAAGTTAATTCCTTTCGCGAAAGAATATAAGGCTACCGGCCGGCTAGGTATATTAATTTAAGAGGATAAGGCTCCGGTATACTTATACTCTCTTTAATACTAAGTCTTCGATTAAGAAAGCGCGCGTTACCTTCCTTAGCCCGGTAACTCACCGGACCTTAATATAATCGAGCCTACCTAGCCGTAGATAAAGAGATATATTACGAAGAAGGGTATACCGCGTATACGAAAGGAAGCTATTATAAGGTAAGAAAAAGCTTAGAAAGACCTCCCGTAAAAATAAATATAGCGATAGATTAAATATATCCTAAGGTATATTTAGAAGGTTATTAAATTAGCGGGTAGAAATAAGTATATCGAGGGGCGGGGAACGGCGCTAGTAAATTTATACTAAAACTAGCTATTATTAAAAATAAGGGACTAATCCCTTAATTAGGTACCTTACGAGGCCCTCTTATAGAACCCTTATAGGGATCTATTTAGGACCTATTATAAGGGTCTATAGCGATTATAAATCTAGTACTTCTATTGCCTTCTATAATATTCGAAGGCTAGCATTATTATACTCGCTATTATAAATCAAACCTTCTATAACCTTCTACTAGGTTCGGTTTAACCCACTCTTTTATAGGGTATTATAGCGCCCTCACGCCTATAAATATAGGCCTTCGTTCACTACTAGATAGTTCTAAATTAAGTTATTTATTTACTAAGTTCTTTACCTATATCTTGCCTACCCTAAAGAGAAGATTACTAAATCGGTCGCTTTCTTCCTTTACTAAAGGGATTCCCGGATTATCGCGATTCACTTACCCTGCGCCTATAAGAGTATTACTCTTAATAGCTATTTACGTCGATATATAGAATTAGCGCGACTAAAAACTTTTAACGCCGTCCTCCGTACTGCCAGCTAATCAATTAGGTATTATCCGTGAACCGTGGACCGTATCTATTGTCACGACGGCCGATAGCCGCTAGTGGAAGATCCCTCTGCTGCGATCTCCCGGCAGCCTTGCCGGACCTCGCAGCTGCGCAGCCAATCAAGCACTTCACCGGCTGCAGGAATCTGTCGGACCTCAGTATCCGTGCGGAATACGGAGTACTACCCTGACAGAAAGGAATTTGCAAGTTTGCAGCGAAAATCAAACAGTCACGATGCTTTTGTTGTACGTCTCCGACGGCACGGCAGCCCAGCACGTGGGTCCCAGGTCAGCAGCTGATTGACCTACCCGATACCGTATAGCCGTTGGTTCAGTATTCAACCCCTGAACTATGGAAGCGGCTGATCTGAGCCTAAAAGTATAATCAATGTTTGACCTCCATTCTTTCAGAAATAGGGTCCGTGTTGGACTTGGGAGCCCATCGGCTTGGCTTTCAACCGTATTCGCACAGAGCACACGTCTGGTGGCAATGATCACGACAATGTCGGGCCATTTCGGGCGAAAACGGGCATCATCCGCTAAGTGGGCACAGCCACTGTCGCCTGACTCTTCGCATTTCAGACTTGTACAAATATTCTCGTTAACAGCGACGATTGTAACAGCGAGCGCACTTCGAGAACCGGCCTAGAAACCTCGGGGACGTAATCTCGACAAGACTGCATGTGTCTTACGGGGCAAGGAGACTGGCAGCAACTACACTCATCAAACCCGGCGGCAAACATCCAGTTCTCATTATTCCACGCATTGTATAGAGAGGTGCCCCTCTGTTCTAGAAGCTCCTGGTCTTCGTTTCGACTACCTATGAAGGTTGGCGGAATAGCTCATGTGATATAACATGAAGTCCCTAACACTTCCAAACACCAGGGTTGGCATGACTGCTGCTCCATCACAAATTGCATTGGGCCATCGCCCTGTTTCACGAGCACTTCGCGTCAGGTCCCACCGCAAGAAACACAAGACACCAAGCTTTCCCGAACTTCAAGAGTCGCAGAGGAGGGCCCACCCTCGACATTCGATCGTTGATCGCTTGGGATGCGGCAGGAAGACTTCGTATCTACGACAGCGACTATCGACTTGCTACTCTGGGCTGACCTGGCGATGTTTTGGGCAGGTCTTCTTTCCAACATATGTCTTCCTCGCCTTCCTCTACTGGTCATCACGATGCCCAAGTCGAAGCCACTATGTTGACCCGTGAGCACAGATAGTGTACGGCCCTCTGCTCCAAAGTGTCAGTGAATATTGTCTCCTCGCGAGCTACGCTTAGCTGTCCGCGGTGCAATTTTCGGCACTGAGGCACATCGGAAACTTCCACTCATAGACCCAGAGTCTAGAGTCCTCGCTGCACACAGTCCTTGGTGTTGTCAAGTCCTTGAAAGGGGAAGCTTGGTGACTCTTACACCCTGGTATGACGGGAGGCCAGGTAGGTCAGAGGGCAAATGCACCCGTATCTCCTACTCTTTTCAACGGTCTCAAAGTAAAGCCATGCAAAGCCTGGTGTTTGGTGACCTATACACTTCGTCCAGCATGGCAAGCATACTATTTGTCACGGGGCTGGGGAGCGAACTGAGCCTCATCGAGGTCCCTGCTTCAGAAATGCTGGCTCCTGGTTGTGTGTCTCGTGACCAATTTACACTTGACGAAGGGGTGTGAGACAGTCATGCTAGGGCATCAGACTACGGCCCTATATGTGTTCACCCACCTAGAGAATGAGTACATGGCGCGTTGGGTTCATAAGACATCGTCATTATCTTGGAGAACACTCAAAAAGTTGCGAAGAGCAGCCAACGTCTGCTCGGTGGCAATTGTCACATATTGTCAGTCGATTTCACGCTCTTGCGCCGATCCAAACAGCGACTGTCCATGATCATTTGTCTCCGGTTCGTCATAATTTCAACCTTCCATTATTCTTGGTGTGCCAACCCAGTTCTGGCTCTGTCATCACGGTTGCTTCCAGTCATCATATGTATCCGACGCAACGTCGGAGACTTTTAACAAAGTGCCTTACAAGATAGCAATCACAGTAAAAGTTACCGAGCTCAATTCATGGTATTTAAGAAGGACACCCTCGCCGAAAGAGTCCGTCCTGAATCCTATGGCAGCTTTCACTCCAACAACTGGGGCACCGAATAGTATCATTGCCACTCGACCGCAATGACCGCCACACGGACGCTTTACACCCTCACATGGGGTGTATACCCTCGTCGAGTACTTATATATCTCGCTGAGAAAGGGCTGTCCCACTCACCGCACATCGACGTTGTGCCTTGCGACATCTCGGAGACTGGCACTCTGATAGCAGAGGGCAAGCCACCAGGCACTGTGCCGATACTAAGTCTACCCGACGGTTCATTCATCAAGCAATCTGTGGCTATTATCGACTACTTTGAGGATATCTGCGCTCAGCCAGACCCTGCGCAGCCATGGCAGAAGGAACTGGCGGACAGCGCCAACCGGAGGACCAACATGAGAGGCACCACGGCAGAGGAGCGAGCTCGGCACCGTGACATGGTCATCCTGGCAGACGAGGTCACCAGTCTGTTTGGCTTTGCATGCCACAAGGGCACGGCGCTCTTTGTGACCTTGGAGACGACAAACGCGCTCACAGCAAAGCTGGCGCTGGAGCTCTGCACCAAGAACCTCAGACTTCTAGATCGGTACTATGCGGAGGGTGCGGAAAAAGAAGGGGCGGAGAGGTCGGTCATGGTCGTCGACTGTGTCTTGTTCTCGACATTGCACTTTGCTCGCAACATGTACAATCTGGATCTCCTGGACGATGCCGAGCTGTCGCATCTGCGCAGTTTCTATCTGGACTTTGGAAAACGAGACAGTGTGCAGGTCGGCGAGCACTTCTATCCAGATGAGCTTCGCAAGCTAGCCAGCCAGTGGCTTCCGGTTGAGTAGACATTGCAAGGGACTCAGACACCTGCGGATATTTACTCGCTGGCTTCACGTTCATTGTATGCATCATCACTCGGCTTCTATCTCTCAAAGAATGAGAGATCGATTGTTTTCTGACCATGTTTGAGTTCAAATGGCTTGTGTGATAAATGTTATCATATGGTACATACAGGTTTGAGGTGTTCCGTCATCGTTCCGCATGATCACCGCACCCTACTCCCTTTATTCGAGACAGGCAGTATGGGCTTAGCTTTTCCCATCTGCAGCTGTGGACAATATTCAAATTGGCAACGGCGCGCCCCCGCATGATCAGATGATACTCAGGTCTCCTCGCTGGTGTGATGTTGGTAGCACTCAACTGGTGAGGCGCTTGACCCAGGGGCACTCCTCTTGTCCAGGACGACGACGCTGGTATCTCCGCCGAGGGTGAACAAATCAGCTGAGTTCCAGTGCAGTGAATAGCACTGATTACCCAGGGTCTAGGAGCCCGGATCAGCTCACGAGGACAGAACTTGTGAGTGCGATTCAGTATTTCTGTTATAATCAGGCGTGACAACGTTCAAAAGCCAGTTGCGCCTGAGCGTCTTTAGAGCGACGTTTTACTTGAAATTTTCCATGTGGCTCTTCCTCTAAACACGGTGTTAAATGTTTGATTGTGCAACTCGTCCGTAGATTGGCATATGTCCCTGTGGCCATTGTATTTTTGACTCTGACAGAGCCAGACAACGTGGGAGGTCGGCGGGTTCTGTGAGGCCCTTGTCAAGGTCAACCCTCCGAAATCGCCTGATCCTTCCCCAAGGGACAATAATTAGACGACTGACGCTCTGAGTAGCTCACTTGATCTTTCTTTACCGGGAGTGCATTTACAGGCATACCTACATGTATACTGCTCACTTCCACTGTTGTCGGGCGAAGGATGCGACAGGGGCCTTCTGGCTTCTCGTGGCAGCCTGGCCCGCCGTAAGCACTAATAATTACTTACGCACTACGTAACAGTATATAGACCACTTTATTTATGCGCGATATCCAAGTGTAGGGTGATCCTTCGCGCGCGCGTGCTGCATCGCTATTCGCGTTAGGAAGGACGAGTCGGGACTCCGGTCGTTGCAAACAGTGATTCTGATTTAGACGGCCACAAAAAAGGATAGAAGTGGCCACAATGTACAAAATTTTCCAGTGTTCGGATACACATTCAACCCTTTCTTGACCCAAGGTTCCGTGGTTGTGGTAACAGGGGGGAGACTGGTCCACGCTTGTTTGCGAGCAATGGAAGAATAGACGTTACGCAGCGACTGGCAAGATATATTCCGTAGCTTGTCCAGCTCCGCATTCTGTCTGCAAAATCTTGTTTTTCAGAGTCGCAACATACAAGCTGAGGTCAGCATTTGCCTGGATTCATGTTGGCGTTGTTGCTTTCAACCAATTGAACATAGTTGGCAGCCACCCAGCCGACGCACTTCGTATAGTGTTCAGGATACAGGGTAGGCAAGGAGTGATCACGCATATCCATGTGTCACGTGCCTGGTCCACTGGACATCTGGTCCTCATTGAGGTAGAAGTTACATGTACACAGCTGTGATTGCATATTCTCAAACCTCATACCATCAGCAATACACGTGCATCCTCGCTATCGACATCATTCCGCCGACTGATGGTCAACTATGTATGTTGCTAGCTTCACGTGGGCAGCATTGCGCACTGGTAGCCCTACCTCGCCTAGTGCTTGTACTTGCGTACGTCGAACGTGCTTTTCTTATTTCACTAAAATCGGGCCTAGGTGCTCCGGAACGCCTCTGGACGTCCAACAAGACACGCCCACGTCTTGCTATCAGGCCGGATCTCAAGGCTGCGTCTGGGGACGCGGCCAAGAAGAGCACATGCACTGATCATGAATTGATGCGTTTGTAATTAGTGCGAGGCTGTGCTCAGGGTTTGGGCCCGCAAAGCTTTGAGAAGTGATTGCAACAGCGCCGGCGCCATCTAATAATTAAAAATCCAGTCGCTGTGCTCAACTACTCACAAACGTATTCGCTGCGATCCGAGCAACGGCAAGCTTGCATGTGCAAAGGACTTTGCTTATCCGCACGGCAGTATACGATCTGCAGCAATTAATACTACGTGCGTAGACTAATTAGCGCGGTGTACTCCGTATTATCGAAAATGCTGGAAAGGCAGGCCGCAGACCTTCCAGGCTTCCATGTGCCCTTCTGGAACTGGAAGAGGATAGGCGCTCGGCGGCCTCACCCACTGCGACCATGTCCGCGCCGCTCACTGGTCGACGGTCGACTCCAGTCCCCTTACCCGCCGCAGCTTATTATTGACTTGATAGGGATTCTGGGGGTGGGTGGGCGTGTGAGCCCAGCCAAGCCCAGCACTGTGGCGGCACATAGTGGCCAGTGGGCACTCACGCTCAGGGTGTCCGCATGGAATGGTTGATGAACGGATCCGACAATCACCAACAGCACTGCTGCCAAGCGATATGGGCCAGCCTCACTGGAGAAAATGTTCCATGGCCAGCTACAAAGCGTCAAGTGCCAGCCTGTCCAAAGTTCACGTGTGGCCTGTCCCACCAGAGACCAGACTGGGGATTCTGTAGCGCCAAGTGACGGGTGCATCGCCCCGTGAGTTTATTCATCCTTCGAAGTTTGCTAGCCCCATTTCGTTCGATCGATAGTACACTACTGTAGGTAGACGCGTGTGTACGTACAAGGACACGCCAGGGCTGAAGACTTTGAGCGAGCCTCGGCTCATGAGCTGACATCCACCGGAGATTGCATCACAGAAGCCTCAGCCCGCTTAGCCGCCTCTCCCGGCGAGGGATCACGGCAAATACGTAGTTAGTAGGCATGGGCAGTGTGCATATTCTCTGCCCTGATTACAAACTGACAGCATGAGGCAAATGCGCACGCATCTGAGCGATCGACGCCTAGAATGTCCAGAACGGGCAGAAGCCACGTACGCAGCCCAAGACGCCAGCAAGACCGAGCGGCTAATAGTCTATGTACGGACCTGTACTACGTAGACTGATAGAGAGCTTGACAGACTTGTTGAAGTCGCTGCACATGCGGTACGCCGTCGGCAGGGGACCGATTCCATCCTCCAGTGAGCATTTCATTCCTCCGCCGCCCGACGCCAGTACGGCCGATGCCTCCCTCCTCTAGCCTCGTGTGGGTCGTCACCCTGCGCTCGGTGCCTGCGGCATGGACGGTTGGTCGATCGACTCGGTCCACGGAGACCGGCAAGGTTCCTTCGGGGTGTTTGTGGGACCGGTGCTTTGTCCTGCTTCTGGCATGAGGGCGACGATTCACGCAGGTGCCTGGCGCCAATGATTGATTGTAATTGACTATAATAACCTGTCTTATGTGCCGACTGCGAACCTGGATGTAACCACACTTCGGCACTTGAACCGCATTGGTGAAACGGCTGGAGCTTGAGCCTTGCAAGGCATCTAAATGTCACATGTGCTGTCCTTGGACCATCTAATAACTTACGTAGATGAAGTGCTGCAGCCCTGCCCTGATCTTATTTATGCCGCAAGGTCGTCCAAGTGCCGACGTAGAGTCCGTACCGTGTCCGTAAGTACGACCGCATGGTGCCTCGTTTCACGACAACGAGAGGCATGACCGATTCCACGCTCGCTGTGGAACGAGCCTCGTATTCGCCCTCCACGCGTCAGAGGAAGGCTCTCAGCCTCCCTCCCGCACGCTGTTTCCGACATGAAATCACATGTGTTTGGCATTGACTACGTAAATACATGTGCTAATTATATACGGTACTACAACTGGATAGCGCGACACCCACCCTGATCAAGCCAGTCGAGGCCAATGTCTACATATGCACCAGCCATACCCAATTGCAAGCCTAAACCCATATTTGCAATTAATAGTGTTGATGTTCTTACTCAAACCCGCTGTGTGTGGCGTGCGCTGTCGACAAGCGACGACAGGTTCTACAATCCGGAGCGGCGGAGACGATGCGCCGCCGGTCGAGCGAGCACCGCGTCGGCGTGCGTTCTCGTGGGCAGTGGAGACAAGTCCATTTTTTAGACTCTCGGAAGACATTGTAGCAGGATTTGTGGCCTCCAGTCTATCACGGTCTCTGCTGTTGCCGCGCGCGTGCTCGTGCGCCACCTGGGCTCTGCTGGAGCCGCTGTCTATACAGCCACAGGAGGTGCCGAGTGAACTACCGGTATGCGAAGCGCCCAAAACAATTCTCCTCCTTGATCGTTGTGTCATGTTGTGGCGACGAAACCATGAATGTTGCTCGAGAAGTGTCAATAGTAATACACCTGCACCAAGATGGAGTCGTGGAGAGTGGTGGACGGTGGTGGACCGTGGTGGTGGACCGATAGCGTAGGCACTGACGACCGTGCTGGTCGGCGACTGGATCTTTGTAATAATTCAGGAGACCTGCATCCGTAACTTTATCAGGCAGTACCAAAGTACAGAGAGGGCTCCAGTGTCAATGTGACGCTGCAGTTCGTGCGATTGGTAAGGCTGAAGGCAGAGACGGCGCCTCCCACAGCCCTGTCCTTGGTCGTGGCCACGCCCTGAATGAGATTCCAGGCAGGAAACTAAGTAGTGATTAGAACCGATTAGTAGTAGCTTGGGTCGAGCCCATTCCATGCGCGGAACGCTCCGCAGTGTCTGCCGTCCGCACGTACCAGACTTCGTGTGCGAGATCACCTCGCCCCAAATCCTGTCGTTGCGTACATGGAACGTACGCTGGCATTCGGTCGAGCCAGGCGACCACGGGTTGTCTCGCGAGAGAACACGAATTCTGAAGCAGGCGCACCCAAGGCCGTGCCAGTCTCCAGATGCCTGGTCCCCAGTGACACAGTGACACTTCACTAACGATGCGAAGTTGCGGCTTAGCCGGGAATAACCAACGACCCATCCCGTCCCGCGTTGCCCGCATATGTATTTCCCAGGTAAGGTAAGGTAGTAACCATGCGACGGACATGCGCCGTGTTATTTTGGGCCTCACAAGGCCGGAAGAAACTTTCAATTGCACATAGCCACTTGCGGGAATGTACAGGCTTGCGCGGTCGGTAGTAACCGCCGCCCTACGAGGAGATCCGTCAGCCCCTTTGCCCACGAGCACAATCATCAATGTACGTACGTACTGGCGAACACGGGTGACTGTTGGCCCAACCCAACAGGAGTGGGTAGGATGAACCGAGCTGCGGCGGTTTACGTATTCTCCAAAGATGGTGCTGCGCCTGGAAGTGACGCAAGACGTTGAAGTCCGAAAGTCCGAGAGACTGCTGATTACCTGTCGATCATGGTGCGTAGTTGTTGATTGCTGGTAGTGAATCATCGAGCGGTGTCTGTCAGCAGTGAGCGATGGGGGACGGCAACACAGGAAGCCTTGGAGAGCCAGTCTGTGAGGCGGTGGTGAGATCGACCAACTGCCGCCTGGCCGAGATATCCAATCCCAACGTGAAGCATGGCAATGCAAAAGGCAGGGCGGGCGAGGCTTGAGACTGAGCTTTTCGGCCCGTCGTTGGCGACGCCTCACCAATGGCACAGGCCCGTCTCAGACGTCTGCGTAGCATGCGCCATCATTGACTCGAGTCGGGTGACGAATCGATGAATCAATCAGTGACAGAGTGTTGTTGTTGGTCTTTGTCGATGTTGTGAGGCGACGAGGCCAGGTGCAAAAGGGTGGGGATGAGACTGGAGGCGGCCCAATGCCACGACTGGAGCCCAAGAAGAGTTACTTCAGGTACCTGCAAGCAACCTCAAGTCATTACGAGCTGCGAGGTTCATATGCACTGCTGTTCATGAATCGTACTCGTACCTAACAGTTATTGCATGTAGTATAAATAAAGTGAGCGTAGGATGACTCGGACTAATTATTGGGAGCACGAACAGCCAGCCAGTCAAAGAGCAACGCAGAACCAACAAAGCCGCCCAGATGTCTGGGCTCCAGTCAGTGGGCCGCCGCTGCAGTGGCCGGGATGGACTGCCAGGACTGGACACAGGGGTCAGGCCCTGGCAACTGAGCAACAGGGCTGGAACAGGTCACGTCCTGCCTAAAAGGCATGGCCATCTAAACCCACCCCCAGGCCGTCAGCGAAGGAAGGATCCACTGGACTTGTGGTTCACCCCTGTGGTGGCTCCGTGGCTTGCTCGACCACCGCGCTCCCGCCCGTGGTGGCCCACTGGCAGTCCAGCCAGTGCCATGTTGCGTCAACAGGGCCCGAGGATCATGCCAGAGTGCGAGAATGTCCATGTCCATGTCACTCTGCCCTACGCCTTCTCTCAAGTTGCTGCTATGCCCACAGCCTTGAGACCCCTCCTCGACAATCTCATCTTCACAACATCACCAGGGCACGTAGTCCAGTCCCCGGCTCACCTTGCACGTTACACAGCTCAACACAAACTGCCTTGGGTCCAGTCCCGTGTCTGGTGAGATTTGACGGAACGCAGCGCGAGCATACATCCACCCGCCGGCCGGCCAGCCAGACAGACACCTCTCGAGGTATTTGCTTAGTCCGGCGACATCTGCCTCAGACGGGCTGGCATTGCAACTGCGCCTGTGGTATTCGCGTCATTGTGAGCAGTATTCTGACCGCCTGGAGCTCGGTCCGCATCGGTTTCCCTCGTCATTGCCGTCGAGACTTTTCAGACCTCAGCTGTGTTGGGATCTGGGCTGCTGAAAGGCTGGCTGTGCACAACCGTTGTCTGCGTCCTCATTCGCCAGCGGCCGCGATCGCAGTTCACGGACCGGACAAAGCGAAGACGTCGCCACCACTCTGCTCCCAGCTCGTTGGGCCCAGCTGGATTATTTACATATCCACAGTCACATCCAGCCCTCAACCATCGGCTCTTGGCTAGGTACCTCGGAATTAATGACGCCGCTAGTCGCCTGGGCTTAGCATGTCACGCTGCGAATCTCAGCTGCTTCTGTCGTCGTGCTCAGCTACCCACTACCGCCATCCACCTTCAAGCAGCATGCCGCTCCCTCCTATCTATAGGGAGTCTGCTCCCGCCGTAGCCAGCGAAATGGCGCCGGCATCACGCGACCACTTCCCTTCGCATCGCGACGACGACCGCTTTGGCAGAAGCATATCCATGAACATCCCCGGTGTTGACTCGAGACCCGACGCTCCGCCACCACTACCACCCCCTCGCAACCCGCCCTGTACCGACAAACCACATCGAAGCGACGAAATGTTTGGCAACAGAAAGGATCTGTACCATCACAACCAACCTTCGCTTGGGTCCAGTGGGTATGGAAGCGCTGCCTCGTCCGTGGCGGAGGATCGGTTCAGGGCTAGGTTCGCCAGAGAGGACCGTGACGAGGGTTACTCCAGCTGGTCATCCGTTGACAAGTGAGTCTCGACATCTCGCAGTCGCTGAAGTACATGTACTGACCCAAGGCCAAGGTCTTCGGATTCATATCCCTCCGGCTTTCGACTGCACAGCAATTACCAGTTCAGACCCCCGGCCGAGATACATGGCGACAGCATGAAACAGAAGCTCAACCCTCTGCGAATGCCGGAAAAGTCTGTTGGTGCGCCGTTCTTGACGGTCGACAAGCTGCGTCCGAGGCCTATGCTCGAAGCACGGCAGCCGCCCGAACTGGCCATGCCTACAAATTTGCCCATGCACCAGCGTATACTCGACTCTCCTACCGATACGCCCCTGTTCTCCGCTATATCACCTCGCTCCGCCCCCTTTGGACACTTTGGCGGGGATTACCGCTCGCCGCGCGAGACCGACGCCGAAAAGTCTCCACAGGGCCGTAGCTATCGCACCAACAGCGACGACGCCTCGTCTACACAGGGAAGCTATGGGTTTGGCGGACATGAAGATATGGAATTGGAGGACTCCAGCTCGCTGAAGAGACTGCATATGGACGACAGCTACGGCGCGGGAGGCCAGGGACAGAAGCGCCGGGCACCTAGCCCTTTGAGTATGGACAGCACAGCGACATCCCATGTCGAATACGCATGTCGCCGGGAGGGAAGGACTCGCGGGTCGCCCACACCAAGGCTTACCGCCAATGGGTCTATGCCCACGGTCTCACGCTCCGACTCGTACTTATCGTCGGCGTCCTTGGCACCGACCTCTACTGCGACCATGTCGACATTTGAGCATCGCTCGCCAGGAGCGTATTCATCCGGGACTGTGTCCCCAACGTCAGCTACCTCGCCGTACGCCACAACCGCGTCCTTGAACCCCAGCCCCAAGTCTTCCGCCTCAACGAGAGCCCCAGGGCACGGCAGAAACACTTCAAGCGTTGCGGCTCGCAGGGTACCAAGTCAGCCGCAGGCTGCTCACACCAGTCTGCAGTCATTTGGGCCAAGTATGAAATTATCCGTGCTGATGTGCGAATGTTGCCCCAAGAAACCCAGGAAGTTTGAGACGGAGGAAGAACTCAAGTAAGGAATCATTGACAGACACCGCCGGGACACACTAACCACGACCAGGGCGCATACCGCAGAGAAACAGTACAACTGCCAGTACTGCGGCAACCGCTTCAAGAACAAGAACGAAGCTGAGCGGCATCAAAATTCACTGCATGTGAGAAGCCACTCGTGGTCCTGCTCGGCGCTTTCCGCTTACGAAAACGCCTTTCACGAAGCAACAGCTCGCCCTGGCGAAGCCGACACCTGTGGCTACTGCGGCGTCGACTTTCCACGGTCAGGGGTGGCACCCAACGGTAGCAAGGTTGCGACGCAGAGCGACTGGGACGAGCGCGTCTTCCACCTCAACGATACTCACAAATTTGGCCAGTGCAATTCGTCGAAAAAGTTTTATCGGGCAGACCACTTCCGCCAGCATCTCAAACACAGCCATGCAGGCGCCAGTGGGAAATGGACCAATCTACTTGAGAATGCCTGCATGATCGAAGAGGAGCCGCCGGTGGCACCGGCGCCAAGATGAACAAAGCCATTCTGAACCAGAAAAAAAGAGCAAAAGGAAAAGACTGGGAACGCTGGGTGATCTGCGGGACATTAGGAAAAAATTAACAAGACGGCAAGGAGAGATACAGATGCATCGCCTTCTCCTTTGCCAAGAGCGGTGGCAGGTGGTGTGGCGGCAGTGAACAACACTGGCCAGAGGAGGATGCACTGGGCCGCGGGGTCGACAACCCTCGAAAGAAGCTGTCCAGTCCCTCCAAGCTGCGACTGGATGGACATGGAGCGATTGGCGCAGCAGCACAGGCAACCCAAGCGATGCATCGACGACAGACACGATTGACACCACCACGGGGCATGAATCACGACGTTTTTGTTTCATCACTCATCGACCAAGGCGTTTGGTACAGAATTTACAGGCTGGCATGGGGATGGATTCCATTTCTTGGACGTGTATTTACGGGATCGACGGGCTGGTGGCACTTTGACTGGGTTTTTAGCGATTGTCATATTTCCATGCAGGTGTGATATACTACACACACAAGTACGGCATACGGGAGGCGTTGAACGAATCAAAAAGAAGAAAGAACACGATACCAGCTGGTTGAGAGTTACACAGAATCATGAATATACTGCACACACTGCATTCTGACGTTTCTCAACATGGGGGGGAGAGGGCCCGGCATCGTGCGCGTGCACGTTGGCTGCCACATTGCGGGCGTCGAGTGACAGAGGGCACGGACGCATGTTCGCTGCAGAATCCGTCGCGGAAGATGTAAACCGCTGCTGGCTGACGGCGGACCGCTTGCTGCACCTTGCATGTATTCCGTACGTACATGGACACTGCATGGTTCATACCCTCTGTCGAGGGCGGGCGGATAGTGGCCGAAACCCAACCTTGCTCTCTCCGTCCGTGTCGTACCACGTAAGGCTGAGCATAGGAGAGCGTGGGAGGAGGACTGGGGACTTGCATCGACCGCATCGCGTTCGCCGTCGCCGGTCAGGCCAGGGCTCCACCAGTCCTTTTACCGAAGGAGGACGAGATTCTTTTCCTTCTCCTTCTTCTTCTTTAAGGCGGAGCATTGCATGACCCTAGTGCCTGCCGGCCTTGCCAGCGTTTCGTGGGTGTCATTGATCTTCATCTTATGAACGCCTGTCAGTCACGGGGCTTCGTCAGGACACCCCGACGAAGCGGACCGCGGGCGCATGCATCGAGGAGCGGAATCAAGGGGGACCAAAAAGGAGCGTCGCATGCTGCCGCCACGCCATGTCGCTGCCGTGCCATATCGTCCCGCGAGGGCCAATGTTGTGCCAGGTGACGTGCTGGGCTTGGTGCTAAAAGAAAGGGCTGACAGCCGTCTACGTAGGTGTTGGGTGGGTGAGTGGGTGGATGCACGCACGAGGGATATTGGGATTTGCCAGACAGAACTGGGCGCGTCACACGGCTAGTCAGTAATACCTACAGTATGTAGTATCCGTACTACGTGCATATCAAAGTACGTAGAGAGCCGTTGGTGCGTCTCTGCATGAAAGGAGGGTTACATGTACGTTGGCTGGCTGGCTGCTCGATTTGCACACAAGATGAGCCAGAGACAGACAGACATCCTCCATTGACTGTACGTACTCTGGCCGCTGTACGGAGTAGGCCGCCCGCGTATGAGCAGTCAGTCACGTGCTTTCAGCCGTTGCGCGCGTGCGTGTGGGGTAATGGGCGGAATCATGGCTATGCTGAACGGTGAGCTCGTCCTGTTCCCTTGGTAATTGCGCGCTTTCGTTCCGCGGCCTGTGGGGTTTATGGCAAGCCACGTTTGAAGTTTCGACGCGACGGCAGTGATTACCGTGGAGGACGGCAGCAAATTTGATGCACGTCGGTGTGGCTTGAAGCTGAAGAACGGCTCTGGTTGCTAGCCATTAGCCTAGTCGAGGAAAAGTTGAAGGAAGAGGGGAGGGGGGGGGCGTGTGGGGAGCGGGTGACACTTGTTGGCAGCTGGGGGCCAAATGGATCACGTGTAGCGCCAAGATCATGGCGGTCGATGAGGTAGCCCTATGGGGCTGAGTGGCTGGTGAGGGGCGGACTGTGGCTGAGGGGAATGATGTGGCGGTGCACCGGCGAGGGGCAACCCGTTCAAGTACCAAGTCGAAATTTGGATGATGGGTCATGGGTGACCAACAAGCAAGCAGTATCGTGACGACGGTATTGCTGGACTAACAAGCGGCAGCTCGAATATCACTTGCGCCCCGAGTCTGGCCCCTTCGCCAATGTGACTGACCTTGACATAGTTGCCGCCATTGCAATAAGTCTTACGCTCACTTCACCCCCGCCACAGGCACGAGCGGAGCATCTGAGAGACCGAGACTCTCAGACCAGACCTCACGAACATCCACCAACCTCTGAGTAAGCCTGCCGCATCAAAATGGAGACCTCAGAGCACCCTTCGTCTAAACCATCCCACAAAGTGACATCCAACCATACCAGTGACCCGGACGCTGACGTGAACACCAAGCCAGAGATCTGGCAGGACGTTGGCCACGAGTTTGCCGCTCAAGAACTAGAGACCCTGAAAAGAAGCATCGTCGCGATGGCGTTAAGTCGCGTTGATGGACACGACGAGCTCTACGTAGGCGGGTAAGACCTCCCCCTCCTCCTTTACGACGAGTTTGGCGTGCTTGTTTGGCTCGTCTAGGGGGCGTGCACACCATGTTGCGACATTGCGCAGACATTGCGCAAAGCCAGATGCTGACATTTCTTTAGCATCTGGGCTATGCGCCGCTCCGACTCGCTCGCTGAGCGGCACATTACGCATGTCCTGTCCATGGTAGGGTTCAATCAGTCCAGTCTCAAAAACTTCAAGGATGAGCCGTGGACGCACTATGGTCGCAACTACGAGCACCTCGTCATCGACATTGACGATGTGGACGACACAGATCTTCTGATCGAGCTTCCCCGTGCGGTCAAGTTCATCGATGGCGGGTTACGAGCAGGCCATGCTATAGCGACCAAGGCAGCATTGGGGTCCAAGACGATGGAAGAGGGGCTCGAGGCTCTAGATGTAGGGAATTCTTCCACGGGCAAGGAGTCCGAGGCGGTACCTGGCGGTGTATTTGTGCACTGCGCCGCAGGCAAGTCCCGCTCAGTGGCTGTTGTGATAGCCTATCTGCTGTGGCGGCATCCTAACCTTTTCGACCCCAACATTGTCGGGAGTCGAAATAGCAAGCTTCACGACGCGCCTGCGTCAAACGAGTCGCGCTCGCGACGCCAGACGGCCAACGAGGCAGTACACGCGGCATTGACCCATGTACAGCGCACGAGACCCATGGCCGAGCCCAATGATGGATTCATGAGCCAACTCGAGCTGTGGTGGGAGATGGGCTGCCCTGTCGAGGGTGATATTGAGCAGCACCCACTATACCAGCGATGGGCGTATCGTCGAGAAGTGGAGGAGAATGTGGCCGTGGGTCAGGCACCGCCACGCTTACGCTTCGAGGACGAGGTGGCCGCGGGCGACAAGCCCAGCGAGCAGGGCGGTCTGAGTCTACGATGCAAGAAATGCCGAAAGACTCTTGCGACAGCGCCGTACATTGCCCCACACAGGCCAGAGGGCCCCGGTGGTAGTATAGCGCAGTGTCAACATCACTTCATCGAGCCGTTGGGCTGGATGCGGAGCGAGCTCGAAAAGGGCGAGCTCAATGGGCGACTGCAATGCCCCACGCCACGGTGCGGTGCTGGCGTAGGCAGATACGACTGGAAAGGGTTCAAGTGTTCGTGCGGCGCGTGGGTGACACCGGCCTTCTCGCTGCAAAAGGGCAGGGTGGATGATGTTGTGGTTAAGGGTCCAGCCACCGCCACGAGTGACGCGGCGCGCAAGCAAGACTTAGGGATACGCATGCCGCCGGGAGCTCGAGGGGTCAATCTGTGATGATCAAAGCCACGGAATTCGAATCGAACACTTTGCCCAACTTGGCCAAAGATGATCATCTCTCCTCCTCCCCCAACGTGTTTCCGCTTCGGCAAGATTTGTGACTTAACAAGATCGGCATATGTCCTGCTGCCCGGGTGTCTCGTGGCTACAGTTTATTCTGGTTTCCCGACATGCTGCAAAACAGCCGCTATGTCGCGGGAGCAGGCTCTCGGTGACAGGGATGGTCCCTCAATCGGAACTGGGCGACGACTCCACGCTTGAACTTTGATGGATCATGGTCCATGATCCTTCAAGACAGGCATCTGATGTGTGGATACTCAGTCCCGCGCTTTGCAGAAGCCCGTCTGACATGCCCACACTCGGTCCCCGTCGCAACTGTGCTTGTCGATGGAGCTCAAGGCCTGCCGCTGGCTTATACAACTTGATGACAGTTGTCCCCGAGACGTTTCCTTCCCTAGCGGCGCAGGGTCAGGCTGAAGTAACACTTCTGCATTTCAACTTACTTGTAGGAGACCCGTGATTACTGGCGCAATGGGCTGGAATAATCACGCCCTCTCAACTCTGATTGAGCTGTTTGGGGGCTACACTGACCCAGTGATACACCGACGCCCTTGGCGTATGGAGGGCTGGAAACGAAGAGACACTCCTGCCTTCAAGGAGCTGCCAGAACTGTCCAGCACACGATAGCAATGCTCCTTGGCGTCGTGTGGTCTGGGGGAGGCGGTCGGGGTCAATCAACAAATTGCGACGGAAGCGTCTGTCAGACACCAACGGACCCTGGCCATTTATGCCCGCGATAAGCCTCAGACGGCAGTCGGCCAGCAGTGACATGGATTTTTCGCATTCTGTGCGCATTTGAGTTCGTTGCGCAGGGCACAATGACAATACTTGCGTCACGTTTCGCACGGGGCTCACCAAGGATGACTTCAAGCCAGCCATCGCCCACGGCGCCAAGCCGACCAGGAGACTGATCCCATGTACTACGTACACGGTACGCCCTGTAAGGCGCATCCATTATTAAACTGGCTTACACCGCCCGCGCGTTGCTGACATTCGAGATATACATACATGTACCGTGAAATATGCCGTACATACCCGTAGTCGACGCTACATCGTGGCGACTATATCTGGAGAAAGTCACAATTCATCAGGGGGAAGGTGAGCAGCGATTGCGAGCTGGTCCTCAGACTCGTCAAAGTCCCTGCCGCCGGGAGACCACCTGGAGCCTCACGTACGACTCGGCACAATTGGAGGTCCTTGCCTTACCAGTCACAGTCCAAGCAAGTGCTGACGCGAGCAGCCCTAGGCATGGTAGGTTTTCTTGTCGGCGCTCGGCCGAGGAAGTTCAAGCCCTGTACAAGGTTTCCACGCAGCTGTAAGCACTAGGCCCCTCCCTCTGCGAGCGCCGTCGTCACAGAAGGCCGCTTCCAGCGCCAGCCTGTCAAGGAGCGCAGCTTCGCCAGATACACAAGGACGTGCAAGTATCTATTCAAAGGATCCGATTGCACATTGCAGCCCTGGTGCTCCTCGTAGGTCATGCCCTGGATGGGACAGGCCGAGTCTGACATGCGCCTCAGAAGAAAAAAAAAAGAAAAGCCAAGCTCATGGGAGGGTGGCATAAGATGAGGAAGTCCGAGGCAAAAAAAGCTTTACCCCGCAATGTGCATCCTCTATAGACTCTAGGTAGTAGTCTGAGTTCAATCTCATGACCGGATACATGATCCAACCCTCCCGCTAGATGCTGTAGCCTGTCGGATGGACGGTGGTGCTGGGGTGCGAGACGAGCCGCAAGCTGACAGCATCCGAGGATCCATGTATGTAGAAGGCCGATGGCGATCTGCTCAGTTTTACAATTGTAAGTAATAGAGATGCTGGCGGCAACACTGTTTACCTTTACCACTTGCAGTCGCGCCATGCTGGTCTCGCCACGTAGCGACGCCCTGTTCAGGCAATGCCATGCCTATCCCACGCTCCCGAGAGATGATGTGTTGGCTTCAGTGCTTGGTGGTGTGGCGCATCAGGTGTGCTTCAACAAATTCAATGTCGCTATCGTCCATTCATGATACTTGCATGCATGCATGGGGGACTGCGTCATGCCGTCAGCTTCCACCCAGGCCCCTCCTTCTGTTTCGCCTGCTCGGGTGAACACACCGATGGGCGTTTTCGTCAACACGAGCGGGCTCGGCGTCATCATTTGCCTACGGGGCTGGTCCATTCTTCCTAACAGGCGGGTCTGTAGGCACAGAGGGAAAGTAATCTGGCTGTTTCACCCGCTCACGATCCCTCTTCGCAGCGTCAGCTTGGCGCTTCTTCTGGATGCGTTGTTGGTAGAACGCTCTGTGACGGGTCAGCGTGAGTGGAAATAGGACTTGGCTTAACTGACGGCTTGAGTTCAAACACTCTCGGCTCATCTTCTGGAGGAGGCGGTGGAGTGCTGGCTTCCTCAGCTGGCTTGTCAGGTTCACCCTTGAACTGCCGCTCGAAGAAGCCGTAGATTCCACCTGACTTCTTCTTTTCCTCCTCTGCTTTCTTTGCGTCCTCCTCTTTGTCTTTGGATTCCTTTTCCTTCTTCTTCTTCTGCTTCTCTTCGTATTCCTTCTTCAGCCGCTCGGTCTCCTCGGCCAACTCACGCTCACGCTTGGCCTTGACGGCGTCTTCGTCGACCTTGGGCGTCGCAAAGTTCTTATCTTTCAGATGCACAGCGCAGACGTAGAAGAAGTCCTGGGATCCATTTAGTCACTGAATGACACCCAGGGTAGGCCATATCCGACTTTTTTGTCAGGAGTGATGAGGACCGAAGTGCTAGACTTGTAGCAAATGTCGCATGCCTTGGAGGACTCCTCGGCAACTTTACGATGTGTGTAAAGATTGGGCCATGGTGCCGCCATATTGAATAGTATCACTGGATGTATCCAGTATGAAAAGTGAATGTGCCCCTGAGACTGAGCTGAGATACATCTCCTTCGGTGAGGTTGTTGACGTTCGCACGTGGGGCATGCATGACGTGGTGGGAAAACAGACGATTCGACGATGACTAAGCACATATGGATTGTTACAATCGGGCAAGACGCGTCCCTTGATTTGGCGACGCGAAGATATCGACATCATCCCAGAGCCAGCATTCTCGATATCACGAGCAGTCATGAACAGCACCAATCTTGACGCCGAAAGGCTCAAGCGCGTCTTTGGGCCTCGCCAAGACATCATTGATGGCATTGGCAGAGCAGCTGGTGCGCCCTCTACTCACTCTGCCATTACGATAGCAAATTAATGTGTCCCAGATTCTCCCGGCAGGATAGCTCTGTTCAACGAGATTGCGGCGCACGTCAACGATCATTATGCTCAAAACGAGGGCCCCGCTCAGAAGAAGCGCAAGGTGGACAGCAACGGAACTACCAGTGGCGTGAAAACCGAGGGAAACGCAGGAGCTCCAGCAAACGAAGATCTTTTGCTCGTTGTAAAGGAGATATCCGTGTCCGTGCCCCAGAGGAAGAAATTCGAAATATGCTTCACCCAGAACTGGCTGTACGCTCGAGCGCCCGGGTCGACAGATCCTCTACCGAACATATGCTATCAATTGTCGGAAATAGGTTGGTGACTGCAAGAGCATTGAGACTGGAATGCGTGGCTGACCGTGTGCAGAATATGCATTCTACCTTCCGGTTCCTGAGAAGACCCAAGTGCAACACAACTTTGTTCTATTTCCCCGAGAAACGTCTGTCCCTGGGAAGGAAGGCAACGAAAAAGAACCACTCGTCTTCACAGTTCCCGCAACGGCACCAAAGGAGGGCACGATTGGCGGTCAAGAGGCTGCGCAGGCCTCTTCCGTTTCGGATACATACAAAGGCCTATTCTTTTGGGCCTTGAATAGACGCTTTGCATCGGCCGGCAATTCTGTCCAGATTACGTCTTCCGATCCGAACAAGTTCCACAGTGTCATCAAACAACCACACAGGCCGAGCGAACGAGCGGTCCATATCAGTGCTTACAGGGGAAGCAAGGACGGGTACCTCTTCTTCTTAGAAAACGGCATATTCTGGGGGTTCAAGAAACCTCTGATCTTCATCCCTCTCAATCGGATCTTTGCGATCAGCTACACGAGCATCCTGCAGATGACCTTCAACATTGTTGTCGAGGTCCTGACGGGCGATGGGGACGAGACACAAGAGTTCGAATTCGGCATGATCGACCAGCAAGACTACGGCGGCCTCGCAGATTACATTGCCAAGAATCGTTTGCAAGACAGAAGCATGGCCGATCAGCGGAAAGCAAAACTGCAACTTGCCGAAAACAGGAACGGCAAGAAAGGGGCTAATGGCGAAGATCCTGCGGCCCCCGCAGATCAGGCCGAAGATGCTGCTGGCGGCGATGGCATGACGGAGCTGCAGCGTGCGCAGCTGGAGGCCGAGCAGCTTGCGCAGGATGAAGAAGACGAGGACGAGGAAGACTATGATCCGGGCAGCGAAGGAGAGAGCGAAGGTTCTGGTTCCTCGAGCGAGGAAGACGACGATGACGAGAATGCACAAGGCAACGACGATGATGGCGAGGATGTTGACGAAGTTTCCGCGGAGGAAGAGGGTGGCCAAGAGGAAGAGGCCCCCGACACTAAGGGAACCATGCCACTGCGGTCAGGAAGGTCGGCGTTGAAGAAATGAAGACTACTCATCGCAACCATTGCCAGCAGACCGATCACGACAATTTGGGGGCCAAATCTATAAGAGCACCTGTGCATTACGCTAGAGACGCTGGATTTCGATATTTGTCACGGCTCATGGGATCAAGCTTGGTTGAGCATCCAGGACGTGCTTAGCGATGAAGGTCAATCAAGGCTATAAAGTGGATTGGGCCCAGAAGCCAAGAACAAGGCCAAGCAAGCATCGTCAGGCGCCACCGTCCTCATTGGCTGGTGCGCGAGTATCCTGGACGACACGTATGCAGCCTTGCGCTCTGGCTGGCTGTGCAAGTACGCTTGGCAGACGTTATCAAGTAACGGGACACTACCTACTTATATAAACGGCGATCCTCCAAACAAAAGGCTGAACCTGTCAAGACACATGCCACGCTGTCGGTTCGTCACCAAATCCCGATACTCGGACTGCGCGTAAGCCATACCAATGCATGTAGCCTACTTCACTTTCGCCAGCCAATGACTGACATTGCATCAGCTTTGTTCCATGGACTTACATTTCCACTCTCGTCGAGCCTCTGGGGCCGGCGCGGCAGCAGGTGCCGGAGCAGTGGCTGCCCGTAATAGTCGCAACGTGGCATTCATCGTCGCCTTCTCAGTCGGCCTACCGCTGATTCTTGGGATAGGCGGCTTACTCTGGTGGCGGAAACGGAGGAAGGCCAGGACAGCCGGCACGAAACCGAGGAAGAGCGGATGGGGAAAACGGAGGAAGGGCGCTGTCTCGTTGCAAGAGGCCAAGAAGCACGACGCAGGGACGTCGAGCAAGGTCAATGGTTGACATCACGACGCGGCACATTGGTATGACGACGCGAGCCATGAACAGGGTCTCTGGGCCTGGGAATGAGAAATCTCTATGAAATGCAATATTCAGTCGCACTGCACACTGCATGACTGTCTGCACGCTTAACCATTCTGAACCTCGAACTTCTTCATACTATCTCCTTCAGACGGACATAGCACTGCGTCGGCTCCCTCGCAAACTTCTGCACCGCCTCGTAACTGCTCAACTCTTTCGGCACTTCTTGCAGCTCAAAGTGCCATACAATCAACGCAAATTGGATTCTCAGCACCTGCAGGGCCAGTTTCTTCCCAAAACATCCCCTAAGACCCATCCCAAACGCCAGAGAGGGCCCCGCCAGCGCATTGTGCACCTCTTTTCTGGCTTCACCTCGCTCCAGCCAGCGCTCGGGGAGGAATTGGTCAATGTCTTCGTCGTTCCATGCCCCTGTGAGGGCCGACTTGGCTTGCTTCCGCGCACCTGGACTGCGGCCCTCGTCGGTAAGGGGCAGATGTGGTTCCAGATAGCCCGGGCCGTTGGCCATGAGGAAGACGTTCGTTCCCTTGGGGATCTTGTGGCCTAGGACAATCGTGTCTTGAAGAGCCTGGCGGGCGACAAACGCGATGGTGTTGGCGTGGCGAAGGACCTCGTCGACGGTGGCATCGAGGTAGGGGATCGAAGTGTCCCTGAGCTCCGCGTAAGTTAGAGTGCGACCCGCCTTCGCCGCTTCGGGGAACGCAGAGCGAAGCTTGTCGCGAAGAAGAGCTTGAATCGAAGGGTTATCGGTCAGGAGCTTCAGGCCCCATGCGATGGTAGTGGCGGAGGTGTCATAACCCGCCGTCATAAAGCCCAGGAATTCATCTGCAATGGCACGTTTGCGGTACTGCGGCGTGCGACCCTCCTTGGCAGCCACATCACGCTCGCGCAGGAGTACGGAATGCAGCGCACTCTTGGGCTTTTCCCCTCCAGCCTCGATGAGTGCGACTGACTCGTTGACCTTATCAAGGATGAACTTATCTTTGATAGACTCGGCTTTTCGCATATAAGGTAGCTTGCGGATCGCCCAGGACGTAAAGACAGGAAAGGGGGAAAGCTGCGTGTCGGTGACCGAGTTGGCCAGCGTCATGACGGCGGAGAAGATATCAGGTACAAATCCACCAGGGAAGGATATCGGCTCGTCGCTGGAGTTCGGGAGCTCAATCTTGAAGCTCTCCAGGGCCTTGATCCGCTGAATGGAGGTGGTCTCGCCCTCTGTCAGACCAAAGGAAGACGCAAAGATGGAGTCAATCGATGCAAAGGTGATATCGTCATGCGCAGAAAAGGGATGACCCCTCGCCATAGTTGCTTTCATCCTCCACAGCTTGAGCAATACCTGCGTCGCCATGAACACCTCCGGCGCGCTGACCTCGCGGATAAAGGTAGGCGCCATGAGGTGATTGATCAGGGTGCGGTTATTCTTAAAGCGTGGATCGGTTGAGATGAACTGAATGTGCTGCTCGGGCAAGATGCCATTGATCAGCTCGCCAAAGAACTCGCTACGATCGAGCTCTTTGTTACGGCGCAGGAGGATGTCCTGGCTTTCAAAGGGGTCGGTCACGACGACCCAGGGGAGACCACCGGGCTTGATGAAGGCTTGGACGATAGGGCTCTGATGGCGCACCGTGAGGGATGTCAGCCAGCACTGAAAAGCTCATGTCAGCATGGATGCCCATCTCAAGTTCAGAGTAAAGGGCTGTCTTACGAAGATGCGCTTCGTGCGCATCACATAGCGCATCATCTCCGGGATGTCCCCGAGCAACTTGTCTGCCGCATCTTGGTTGTACGGGATACCAGGGATTGGCTTGGGGATGATCCTTCGATAGGACCAGTAGAGGGTGATAGTGACGATGGCCAAAGCTATTGCCCCGCCCGAGTACGACGTCGCGACCATGATGAACCTGCAATCAAAAGTCTTGAGCTGGAGGTTACGGTCTGGAACTCAGCACGTCGATGGACCGAAAGGCAAATGAGCACACAACGGAAGCTCAAACTCCTACAGACATTATCAGCAAACCCCTCGCTTCGACGTTTGGCGGTCTCGCTGAGGAGGGGTTTTTGGCTGCAATGCTACGTACATGTATACAAGATGCAGCAAAGAAGACCCTGGCTGTTCATATGCGGACGAAAACCCCCCTCACTCGTATACAAGGGTGTTTTGTTCGACGATTCCCAACGCAGGACGCAATCCGCACCACTACTTAGCGAATCAGCACTTCTGAATAATACAAGCAGGCCTGTTCGGATTTGTCGCTGGAATCATACATGTGCGCAGGACTGCAGCGCTAACCGGTGGTTTGGAGAGAGGGGGAGTGACAGTTTCACGCGACAATCATGATATATTCGTGATGGGCTCTCGACTCTCAGGAGATGTTTATAGGCTCATGCGGTTCTCTGACCAGTCGCACTGTTGATGTCATCTTATCGACCTCACTTTGATTGGCAGGACTCACAACGCACTGATGCTGGACTCCTGTGCTCTGGATGTTCCTCTTCTTTATCATGCAGTTTGTGACATGGGCTGTGACCTGCAGCTGGGCTTGAGCGCAACGAGAGGAGCCAGCAGGCTGAATGGAAACATGAAGGTGGGTGGGGTGACCTGACCTGACATCTGCTGTCAGCCTCACTCTAGTCCTCCCTATAACTATGGACTCTGGTCACACCCCGTACCCTGTGACAACACCTGTTGCATTTGCCCGAGCCGGTCCTCGGAGTCGCTCTTCGCTGGCGCTGAAGGAGGTGTCGCGAGCTCTTCTTTTCCATTCATGCCATTGAAGGCCACGCCGCTCACGCCCTCGACATGGCGTTCTCCGGCGAATCAGACGCAACGTCGAACCTGCCTCTGTCTTTCGCGAACGAGCCAACAATGGACGTCAGTGTCTACACCGTTGCCTGGCTCGCGCCTCTCGAGATCGAGTCCCAGGCCGCTTGCCACATGCTCGACGAGGTCCACTCGCACAAGCAACCGCCCCTCGCCGACTGCATATACATAGGCGGGAGCATGGCGGGCCACAACGTGGTCATCGCCACCTTTAACTACCAACAGGTGTACGGCACCAGGAACGCCGGTGTGATGGCATACGAGGTTAAGAGGACGTTCCCAAATGTAAAGTATGGCCTTCTCGTGGGCGTGGCGGCAGGGATCCCTCGCCATCCGCAAAACGGCGAGTCGCCAGGGCATAACGACGACATCCGGCTCGGCGATGTCGTCGTGGCCTACTCGGATGACTCGAGCAAAAATCCTATACTAGATTACGACCTTGGGAAACAGCACGGCCACGGCAGACCACTTGAGATCCTGCAGGGTCCCGGGGTCCAGCAGCAAATACACCCGGACATCAGGCGAGCGTTTCG